TCTCCTTCAGAGTATGATATTGTATTTTCATTTCTGTCCACTTGTATTCCGGACAGTCACTGTATTTTATTTCATTCACTGGTAGATGCTCATGCACTTGTGACACCGGGTTCTGGGATGATCACGGAGTTTTATTTTAGTAGTTAAATTTTGTAAAGACAACCCCATTTATTCAGTGGAGTTTATTATTTATTATTCATTTGTTTAAAGTAAAAATGATTTCAAAATAAATAAAATGAGAAATTTCTAGTAAATTGTTGTTGGCTTGCCTGACAGTGGTGTCCGGCGCCATCACGACCCTTAGTGGANGTTATGAAATCAGTAAAACACAGCATGACTGAGTACAAATATTAAGTCAAAATAGTGAGGAATAGTAGTAAAAAGCCCCATAAGGGTCCAAACAGTTGGCACGAGGCCCAAATATGGCATTCCACCCAAAACATAGCAATACTTTTCAAAACACAATGATATCAAACAATTTTCACTCAAATGCGGGACTTAACAGTCGTACGGGACGGACCAAGTCATAATCCCCATCGGTGCATGACCCCACGCTCGTCATCTAGCGTGTGTGTCACCTCAAAGTAACATAACGATGTGTCAAACCTGACCTCTGGGCCCACGTCTCGAAATCGATAAAAATCACATCAATAGAATCCTTATCCTCCCACGAGTTCATACATACCAAGAATATTAAAATCGGACCTCAAATGGCCCCTCAAATCCCCAATTTACACTCTCCAATTTCAAGCCCTAATCTCCCAATTTTAAGCTTTAAATCCCACTAATTTCATGTATAATTAGTTAGAGATCATCATAGAATTGAGTATTGAGTTCAAAAATCTTACCTCCAAGTGTTTCCCTTCGATTCCCTCTTCAATCCCTCTAAAAAAGCTTCAAAAACGCTCAACAATGGTGGAAAAATGGCAAAAATCCGCGAAGACAACTATTTAAACATTCTGCTAAGGCATTAATTCCTTAATCGCGGAAACTACCTCGCGATCGCGAAGCACAAAAACTGACTGCCTCATTTAACCTTACACAATCGCGTAAACCTCCATGTGGTCACGAAGCACTGCCTTTCTAACCCACTCGATCGCGACCTCTCCCACGCGATCACATAGAACAAACCTTACCACTTCACACCAGCTCATTCCCTTCTACGTGAACGGGACCCTGGTCACGCGTTCGCGAACCATAACTTCACTGCCTATCGCGATCACGTACTTGCCTCTGCGATCGCGTTGAACAAATTCTTACCTCTGCCCAACTGAGCCTACGCGATCACAAACACATCTACGCGATCGCGAAGAACAAAAATGTCTGCAACTGAAACAATAAATCTGCAACTCTCCAAAATAAGAATTTGATCCGTTAACCACCCGAAACTCACCTGAGGCCCTCAGGACCTCAACCAAACATGCCAACACATCCCATAGCATCATTCAAACTTTTTCCAACCTTCGGAATGCTCAAAACAACATCAAAACATCAAATCACTCTTAGATTCAAGCCTAAGGATTCCAAAACTTCTGAATTCCGAATTCGATCAAAAGTCTATCAAACCTCGCCCGAATGACCTGAAATTTTGCACACACGTCACAAATGACACTACGAATCTACTGCAACTTCCGAATTTCAATTCCGACCCCGATATCAAAATTTCAACTGCCGATCGGAAAATGCCAAATTCCAATTTCGCCAATTCAAGCCTAAATCTTCCATGGACCTCCAAATTCTATTCCGAACGCGCTCCTAATTCCAAAATCACCCGACGAAGCTAACCAAGTCATAAAAATTCAAATCCGAGATCGAATATTAAGAAGTCAAAACTTGGTCAAACCTTTCAAATATAATGCTTCATACTGAGAATTATTCTTCCAAATCCCGAAAACCAAAACCGACGATTTACATGAGTCATAATACATTACACGGGACTAGTCATGCCCGAGAACTGGCGAGCGAAGTGCAATTTCTTAAAACGACCGGTCGGGTCGTTACATCATATTACATGCAATACATATTGTTACCAACCAAAATCATTAAAAAAATAGATCAAATTTAAAGGAATTTTCTTTGGGGAACAAACGACAAAAAAAGAAGCTTCATCTTGCTAATTGGGATTTTGTAACAAAAAATAAGGTTCAAGGTGGATTAGGGCTTAGAAAAACAATTAACTTATCTCTTTTAGCTAGCCTAGCTTGAAGATTAGCAAATAATCCTACTAATTTATGGGCCATTACTCTTTTAAAAAAAAAATATTCCCATAAATCTAGTGAAAAGGGCTAATTCATTTTGAAAAGTATTATCAAAGGATGAAAAATTTGCCAACAAGGAATATCTTGGTCTATCCATAACTCCTCCTCTCTCAATATCTGGAGAACAAATAGATTCCCAATTCAAACAAGCTTAGAACCTATGTGATATGTCCGTTAACTAAAAAAGAAAATTTTATTAAACTTTGTGACCTTAGAACTAATAATAAGTGGAACCTTAATGCTATATCTTTTGACATCCCACCAGAGATAAAAGAAAATATATTCTCCACTTTTATCCCCATATAAAGTAATAAGGACACTATTGGGATCTCAATGAGAATGGCACCTTTACGACTAAATCATATTACAATCTTATAAAAGGTAACATGCCCTCTGAATTAGACCTTAATTGAGTATGGAACTTGCAATGCTCCAATAAAATAAAATTCTTCTTATTGGTATGTAGCTATAATAAATTACCCTGTAGGATATCACGCATATGCATAAACATAAACGAGCAATGCAATATATGTCGGAGGGAGCCAGAAACTATTAGTCACATCTTCATTTCTTGTCCTATAGTTTATTCACTATGGAGGCAATTGGGTATCAATACAAGTTATTTTCTACTTAGTAAAGCCAATTGGCTCCTTTACCTCAAAGAAAAAAGCCCCCAGATTCCTCATAAACACCTTTTTTGGAATATCTTATTCCCTTTCACAATTTGCAACATTTGGTTAATTAGAAATAGTAATAATATAAACAACATATCCAATGAAGTTACTCTAAAATGGATCATAAATCAGTCCATTGAATATAAACTCCTAACAGAACGCGAGTCCAATTGGGATAGGAAAATTGACCTAAATATCAGTTGGACCAAACCTTTTCCTGGTTGGTATAAGCTTAACATTGATGGAGCTTTTAATAAGAAAAATGCAACTAGAGGTATAGGAGAAATTTTTAGAAATCAAAATGGAGACTAGATCTTAGGATTCACCTCCAAAATAATCTCTAGAGCTCCCATCCACTCAAAACGCATGGCACTCTACCAAGGTCTTTGTATTGCCAAAGACGGGAAACTATTTTCATTGAAAATAGAGACTGATGCTACACAGGTAATTTCCTTCATTAAATAAGGATGTAAATCTTATGACTCAATTATTAATTCATGCAGGTTGCTTCTGTCACAAATTAACATGGTGGTGATTGACACAAGGGGTGATTTATGTCACTAGAATTATGCCCGAGGTTCACCTCCGTGCGGCAATCAAGCCCAGCCTTGACTTCAGGCTTTCCAACACTTAGTTTTATTTTAGGGATGTTTGGACTTAGAATGATTTAGGCAACAAAAACAGTAAGTAAAGGCACACACAATTTACTAGAATTTCTTTCCAACTCGTATTAATATGTGAATACAAGAACACAATAAGCCAACCCTATGGCCAAGACAAAGAATTCCCTAATTCCATGCCCCAAAATGATTTACCAACCTTAGGAATATACTTAGACGAAATTTGGTTATCACATATGCCACAAGCTAAGTTCTGCCCATTTGGGACAACCTATGCACTTATTTATAGTGTAGGATGCCCAATTACACTTGGCAACTTTTAATACAATTAGTTGACAAGCCCCAACTGATGAGCAAACGTAGGAAACATGCTAAAAACGTGTAGCACTAAGTCACAAAGTCAGCCATGATCTAAAAACATGCCCATGATCAGCCATGCTTGAAATGGGCAGTTGTAATCGCTCAACCGCCCTGTCATGTGCACTGCATGTGTTTGATTTGGCCAATTCCTGCACGCCCAAGGCTAGCATTGCACCCAGCCTTGCCCTTTGACATTGCTCCACCCAAGTGCCATGATCATAGCTTGTCGCATTTTTACTTAGCCGCACATGCTCATTGCCGCAACTACCCGTTTATGTCAAGTCGCCCCCAACTTGATCAAATTTGCCTGCATCAATTGTCATTGCCTGTCCTGCATTACCTTGCCTTGCCATGTCTTTGCCCCTGATTTGACATGGCTTTGCCTTGCCATTGTTATTCCAACCCGCACGTCCAAGTGAAATGTGCCTTGCTTTCGTTCAATGTGCGTTTGTCAACCCCGCATAGTCCGTTATGCCGAGCAGCCCATCATGATATTGCCCCATTTTTCAGGTTGTGTGCCAAGGTCATCACGAAAATCCTTGTTACAACCCACACCTATCGAGGAACTTTGTCAAGGGGTTAATAAACTACCCACACCCGAAGAATTCGTCGTTCTCGACGAAGCAATTTCCGCATTTTTCAGCACCACCATAGGCCCTAAATATGCTGCTGCCTGCTCATGTTCTTCCTCGTTCGGCTCATCTTCACTCTTTTCTTCAGCAAACAAAGTTGAAAGTCGTTCAATTTTTGAACAGTCCCTCGCCATGTGTGGTTCTTTGCAAATAAAACAACCATCAAACTTGTTGTTTTGTCTCTTATTTTTCGAAGGTCCAGCACATTGCTTTTCCTTTCCATTGCCATTGCCCTCAACAACATTACCCTTCACTACAAGAAATTTGATTTTTAACGACCACTTCTTAATGAAGGGACATAAACCCGTACGTTATAAGTATACTTATAGCAACCAATTTTTTTTCCGGTAGTTGAATTAATTATTAGCACAATATTAAAGAGGGAATAGTATTTGGCCCTTAAAATATAACATAACCGGTTGTTAAACAATTAATTAATAAAAATTGGCGCTAATATTTCCCTCTTTTTTCCCAAACCCACGCCTGGGTCGCCAACCACCCCCAAAAAGAGGAAAAAACCCTAAACTTATTTTGGTAAACCTGCTATTTCTCCTGCTGTGAACACTTATTTTGGTCACTTCCATTGATAACAACTGCTCAACTTCGAATTTCTTCTCATCAAGGTAAGGTTCGAAATTGTACCCTTTTTATGTTAATTTTAGTTTAGATGAAACCTCAGTTCCAAACCATGGGTTTTCAAATTCAATTTTTAATTTCAAACAGAAAAAGTGACTGAAAAGCTAGGGTTTTAAGGGCAAAATTCTTCTCTGCTCTTGAGTTTTCTTCTTCGATTTTCTGTTCACGTTTCGAATTTCAGAAAAGAAATTACAAAAAGAGATATACAAAGATTTTAGTTTTCTTCTCTGATTTTCAGCTATTACTCCTTTAATTTTGGGGTTAAGTTTCTTTCATATACATACATACATATATATATATATATATATTAGTTTTTGCCCTGTTAATCTTCATTCACGGATCTTGCTTGAGTTTGGTTGGTGTTTCGCGGGTTCGGATGTGACTGTTCTAGGATGACGTTCCCGGTTCCGAATTCAATTAGTCGTTTTTTTCCATACTTGAATTTTGGAGTCAAAATCTGTGTAATTGCTGATTTTTCAATTGCTATTAAGGAACGTTTTGCTTAACAAGTCTATTTGTGTCACTCCCTTTCTATTTTATCTAATTAATTGTGAATCGAGCTTCAAAATGAGTCGTTTAAGGATAAGTCGAGTTTGGAGTATAAATTGTTTGGTTAGATAATTGATTTCTTTATGAATTCATTCATTTAACATTAAGTAGAACTTTCTTGTTGATTCTCTGAATTTGTTTTAGAGTTGCCCTTTAAGAGAATATCTTGATAATGAATTAGTTGGAAAGTCTTTGTTCACTAAAATAGTATGTTGTTGGATTTTGCTTTTGATTAGATCCATATTGGGTGCTTCTGGTTTGGTACTGAAATAGCATTTTGTTAGCTAGTTCAAGGAGGTGAATTTCCATGGATTAATTGCTGGTTCTAATTCCTGACAGTTCAATGATAGTTGACGTTCTATGTAGCTATGAAGTCATATTCCTATGTAGATGTATTTTGTAGAGTGTTAAACGTATTAACACGAAATGAAAGGTGATTACATGTGCTTTGTGGTAATGTTGCTGCATACAGTGTTTATGAACTACTAAGTTGTATTAATTAATATTTGTTGGTTCAGAGATTATTACACCTAGTTTTGTACTGCAATTCTTTTATCCGTGATTACATGTACATTATTGACAAAACAAAGTTATTTGTTGTCCTTATTTTCAGAAACTCTGAATTTTAGTTACAAGCACCGTCAACCTAAAAAGGTAAGTTATGCTATTTTACTTAACGCAATCAATTTGCATAAACTATTATTTTGTACATGATTGATAAAAGCTAGTATTATTTTGTATCTGTCATTAGTATGTGTGAAGTGTTCTTTGTGTCAATTGTTAAGTTATTTGTGCTCTTCGCGTTAATAATTCCATGATATAATTTATATCGTTTATGTTTACTTTGCTGTGCACACTTTGAATGAGGAAGCTCTGCTTTTCGTTATCTCTATTTGAGATCTGGTGTTAGAAAAAAAAACATTGAAATAAAAGCCCTTTCTGATAAATTTGTCAATCAATGTAGCTGTTGAACTTAGCTTTATTAAGGTAAGAGTATCAATATTCTGAAAACAGAAGTTATGAAATGAAACTAAGATGACTTGAGACTTACAGACTTCGTCTTTTGAACATTCTATTATTAATGATAAAGAGACACATGCATCATCCTTCTAAAGTCATAAGAGACTCATCTTCCCTCTTGAAAGAGGTTTAAAGTGCCACTTTTATTCTCGACATAGTCTATAACACGATGATTAATTGTGATTGTGTGTATGATTGCCTACGCTTCTGCCTCTGTTCAGCTCTGCTAATTGATTTAATTAGACAACTTCTTCAGATAAGAGCTTAAATTACAATGCAAAAATAAATACCCACTATTGTTAATCTACTTGAGTACACCCGCTGATAGCTGAAAATTGGATAGTCCATAAGTGACTACTGTACTGTCCTAAATCCAGGGCAACCTACCCACTTCGTTATTGGACATATGGATGTACTCCTCCATCGCCTTTATAAGGCATCATCATTAGTAGCAGGGTCCAATAGAAATTGTTTCTCCTTTTCTCCTGTAACTAGGTTATGAAAATGATATAGACTGAGTACTTTTAGTAGTTGGAATAGGTTCATTTAGTAATTTTTAGTTTTGTTTTATATTTAAAGGGTAAACTATTTCTTTGTTCCTTTTCTGTTTACCAAACTTGAATTAGACTTTACTTTTTCATTCACCTTGTAATTTTTCTAATAACCTGCTCAATGATTAGACTGGTCCAAATTGGAGCCTTACCCCTGTTTGAAGTTTTATATTCCCTTGAGACAAGTTTTACCCATGCTCATTATTCAATGTTTCAAACGTGTTTGAGCTTCTGATTTTCTTCATATCACCACATCGTCCAACTGTTGAACTTGCTTGAACAACCTGATTTCTATTCCTTTGTGTTTTTGCTGTGCTAGGTGGTGTATTAGCTAGATTAACTACTGTCCAATCTCGACCTTTAACTTGTTACACAGGTTGGGGCTTTGATGCTACTGTATCAGCTTCCCCCTTATCAACCACATTTACAGTAGCATCTTCCAATACCTCAGTTTGTGCACCAGCATCAAGAGCAGCAGATGCTTTAATTTGTTCACCTGCTTCAGATGTCTACTAGAAAGTTTTACACTTAACCTCCTTTAGACAATTCAAAAAATCACTGAACTTAAATTCACAACACAGAAAAAGATAACAGCTGCAAGACTAGTAAATTGATTTAAAAAATGGGAGACATAAGAAAATCAACTAAAATATATGGTTAAATTTGGTGTGACATTTGCTAACTAGGTAGAGCTTAGGAGTGTCCCCTGTAATGTTCAACCTTTGTGCGTCTGATGAATATGTTTCTAAAAACACTGTTCAGCAAATAGAAGACATGTCATTCTTAAGATGTGAAACAGAAAGAATGGTAATCAAAGTTACTGTACCTCCATGACTTTGCTTTCATAGTCTTGTAATTGTTGAGCATATGTCATTTCCTTGTTTGAAACCCGGAAGATGTATGTTAATATCCATCTAACTGTTAGACCCAAAACCAGGACTAATTGAACTACATTTCCAGCTTGTAAAGGATCAAATCCCAAGAACTGCATAAGATGTTTGTATCAGAATTATTACAAACAAGAGAATATATTGAACATCACATATAAAATAACTAAAGAAGAGGAAATAACACTATCATTCTACATTCTGTCTGGTGCAGTTCTAATTCGGTTTACAACCACTTATATCAGTTCATTATTTTCTAATCTTTCTTTTTTTTTTTAGAATTGGAACCTTAGAATGCTTCTGAATTCTTAATGAGAAAATTAAAAATATAACAGTAAAAATAGTTAGGCCAGTGAAATGGTGGATGTGAGAGATTATTCAAACATATTATAAAAATAATCTTCGAAAGTAGATTGACTAATATTCCTTAGTAAAGGTGACTAATATGTTTTTGTTTGCTTATGTTCATTTCTTGTTCATTGCCATACTAATATTTTTTGGTTGAGTATATATGTATATCAATTTCGTGTATAGACCAGATTATGTCACCTGATAAGCAATGGATGGAACTTATTCATGATCGACTTGATAACACTTACATACTTGGGGTGGAGAACTTTCTTGATTATGCTTTTAAAAGATTGAGAGAAACACGCGAAATACGTTGTCCATGCGTCAAATGTTGTAATGCAATTTCAGGAACACGTGAGTTGGTTAGGTCACATTTAATAGTACACGGAATGGTCCAAAATTATACCCTTTGGTATCACCATGGGGAGAGATTAGGTGAGTCTTCTTCAGATTATGAATTTGTAGGTGATAAGATCAATGAAGAGGGTGATGGTGAGGATGAAATACATGAAATTTTAAGAGATTTATATCCCACTTTTGAAGGAGACAATATGAACAATGATGGTGATGGGCCGTTTGAGGAGGAACCAAATATTGAAGCAAAAAGATTCTATAGGATCTTAAAATATTTTGAGCAACCATTGTACCAAGATTCAAAAGTTTCTAAACTTTCTACTTTGGTAAAGTTGCTTCATATCAAAAGTATTGGTAATTGGAGTAATGCATCATTTACAATGTTGTTGAAGCTCTTGAAGGAAGATTTATTGCCAGATGGATCAAACTTGCCAGATTCATATTACGAAGCAAAGAAGGTAATTCGGCACCTAGGGCTTTCTTACAAGAAAATTGATGCATGTAAGAATGATTGTATCTTATACTGGAATGATGATAAGTCTCGAGTCTTGCAAAGTTTGTGGTGCATCTAGATGGAAGGAGGATAAACGCAGCGGGGAAATCAAATTTAAAAGTGGGAAAAAGATACCATACAAGATTTTACGTTATTTTCCTCTAAAGCCAAGACTTCAAAGATTATTTATGTCTTCGAAAATATCTACTCTGATGAGATGGCACCATGACAAATGAGTTGATGATGGAATAATGAGGCACCCAACTGATTCAATAGCGTGGAAAACGTTTGATGAACTTCATCAATCTTTTGCATCCGAGCCTCGTAATGTTCGACTTGGACTTGCTAGCGATGGTTTTCAATCATTTGGAAATTCCAAAACTCCATATAGCATTTGGCCTGTGGTACTTATTCCTTATAATTTACCACCTTGGCTATGCATGAAGAAAGAAAATTTTATTTTGTCGATGATTATTCCTGGTCCTGAGAGTCCTGGAGATGCTATTGATGTCTATCTCCAGCCTTTGATAGAAGAATTAAAGGAATTGTGGGAATCTGGAGTGAAGACCTTTGATGCGTCAACTAAACAAAACTTTGTGTTACATGCATCTTTATTATGGACCATTAATGACTTTCCCGCCTATGCAAATTTGTCTGGATGGAGTACAAAGGGAAAATTAGCGTGCCCATGCTGCAATAAAGAAACTCACTCAATTAGGTTGCAAAATTGTAAAAAACAGTGTTATATGGGCCATAGACGCTTTCTTCCTCTTAATCACAAATGGAGGAATGATAAAGCATCATTTAATGGCACTAAGGAGAAAAGATTACCACCAAAACAGTTGTCTGGTGATGATATACTTGATCAAGTGGCTGATTTATATGGGTTACAACTAACAAAGGATCCAAAGAAGAAGATTAAAATATCACATGAGAGTAGGGGTGATAATTGGAATAAGAAGAGTATTTTCTTTGATCTCCCATATTGGAAAGCTCTTTTATTGCGGCATAACTTAGATGTAATGCACATTGAGAAAAATATATGTGATAATATTTTGGGGACAATCTTAAATATCAAAGGAAAAACCAAAGACACCATAAACACTCGGTTGGATTTGCAAGCAATGAACATTAGGAAAGAATTGCATCCAATAAAAATTGGGGATAAATATGACTTACCAACGGCATGTTACACATTATCTCCCGAAGAGAAGGACAGGTTTTTCAGTTTCTTGAAGAACTTAAAGGTTCCAGACGGATTTTCATCAAATATTTTCCAGTGTGTCAACCTTAAAGATCGCAAAATTTCTGGTTTAAAAAGTCATGATTGCCATGTTCTTCTACAACATTTACTCCCACTTGCTCTACGGGGCATGCTATGCAAATCTGTGTGTGAACTGCTTATTGAGTTGTCTTTATTTTTCAACGTACTTGGATCGAAATGTTTAAGTGTGGATGAATTAGAGCAGATAGATGCCCAAATCCCAATAACTGAGTGCAAGCTAGAAAAAGTCTTCCCTCCTACATTTTTTGATGTCATGGAGCACTTGCCAATTCATTTAGCTAATGAAGCTAAGATTGCTGGACCTTCTCAATATCGATGGATGTATCCAATGGAGCGATATATTTACTTTATAAAACCATTTATTCGTAATAGGGCTTGTGCAGAAGGTTCTATTGCAGAGGGATATTTAGCAACTGAATGTATGACCTTATGTTCAAGATATATACATACAATGGAAACAAAGTTTAATCGTCTTGAACGAAATTATGATGGTGGTATTATAGAATCTGATGGAGGTTTAACAATTTTTTGTCATCCCGGAAGAGCTTTAAGAGATGGCAAACCACACAAACCTGATTCAAATGAACTGGAGCAAGCACATATTTATATTTTGAAGAATTGTGATGAAATTCAACCATTTCTCGAGTAAGTAATGACTTGTTTCAATAATTTACTTTTATGTACCTTTTATATTTTTTTTCTCATTAAAATAACATGTTATTATGCTTTAATTATTTGTAGAAAGTTTTCATTAACTCCAATTGATACCTCTCAAGAAAATTCTGATATGCAATTCATTGGTTGGTTAAAAGAAAAGGTGAGTACTAGTTAATATTAATATTTTTCAAACCAAGTATGTAAATATTATTTGCTAAACTATGTGCTTGATCTTGATAGGTTGTAGGATTACACAAATGCAATGATAGTAAAAAAATGGCAGATTTGCTCTCATTGTCACGTGGTCCCATGCCATACGTGACAAGTCATCGAAACTACCTTATTAATGGATATAGATTTCACGTGAAAGATTATGATAAAGGTTTGAGAACTCGGAACTGCGGGGTGGTTGTAGTTGGAGAGACAGATGAAGAGAATAAGAACATTGATTACTATGGAGAACTAACAAATATACTAGAATTACAATTTATTGGTGGAGGAAGAATAGTTTTGTTTCGATGTACGGTGTTTGATGTGTATGACCAAGAAAGGGAGTTAAAATAGATGAATATGGCTTTGTAAGTGTTAACCGCCATCGATTTTTGAAAACAACAGAGCCTTTTGTATTAGCCAACCAAGCATCACAAGTTTTTTACGGTGACGATCTTTCCAATAAAGGTTGGCATGTTGTACGAAAAGTTCAACCTCGTGATACTTTTGAGGTTTTGTACGAAAATATTGATGATTTAGAGGAGTTAGATCATTCTTCACAACTGAAAAGAAAGAACTCATGAAGGTTTGGATATTTATGAACTCCTTTATTTAATTAGGCAACTCACTTGTGTTGAGGGAAGTGTCGTACTGGATTCTATTTGATTTAAAAGTTCAGCAAAAGATTCTAAAACTATATTGACTGATTATATGTTCTTATATGATGAATATGACTTGCTAAATATTTGGTTATCTCCAGGTTTCTATCCGTCATTTTTTTGTAAATTATCTTTATTACTGTTGTCTATGGCCATGTAACTTCCTAGCTTCTTTCAAAGACCTTCATATGTTCATATATGATAATACTGACATTATAGACATCTGTTACTCAATTTCTTTTTGTGCTAGGTTGACATGAATCCCTCAAAATATCAGAAGTCTAAAATGGAATCAAGTTCGAAGACTGTTAAGCATGTGTACGTTCCACCTGGTACCTTAGCAAGGGGGCGAAGACAGAGCTTCAGAGCATTGGGTTCTATAAGAGTAAATGCTGAACAACGAGGTTTGATTGGCAAAAGTAAAGCTTTTAATGTATTATCTTTTGATATGAATAACCTAACTCATAATGATAGTCTTGTACCTTTTGGTTTTGATCAAATACTTGAAGGTGATACACTTTTTCCTCATGAAGAAGAAGAGATGCAGGGCACTCGGAGAAGTGAAATAAGTATTTTATTATCTCAAGCTATAAGATATTTTCGTTGTTTTGTATAAGAACTATTTTTATATTTGACTTAAATTGGAATTTGCAGGGCTTTGTGAATCTGAAAAGGTAAAAAAACTGAGAGGAACGAATTGGTGTAAAAATGTTGCAGGACTCAAAGTTGGAGAAAATGTTGCGCCTCCTAGTTTTGTTCAAACATTTGAAGGTGATACTCTTTTTCCTCATGAAGAAGAAGAGATGCAGGGCACTCAGAGAAGTGAAATAAGTATTTTATTATCTCAAGCTATAAGATTTTTTTGTTGTTACTGTATAAGGACTAATTTTTATATTTGAGTTAAATTGGAATTTGCAGGGCTTTGTGAATCTGAAAAGATAAAAAAACTGAAAGGAACGAATTGGTATAAAAATGTCGCAGGACTCAGAGTTGGAGAAAATGTAGCGCCTCCTAGTTTTGATCAAACATTTGAAGGTGATACCGATCTTTTTCCTCATGAAGAAGAAGAGATGCAGGGCACTCATAGAAGTGAAATAAGTATTTTATTATCTTAAGTTATAATTTTTTTGTTGTTATTGTATAAGGACTATTTTTATATTTAAGTTTAATTGGAATTTGCAGGGCTTTGTCAATCTGAAAAGGTAAAAAAACTGAGAGGAACGAATTGGTGTAAAAATGTTGCAGGACTCAAAGTTGGAGAAAATGTTGCGCCTCCTGGTTTTGATCAAATATTTGAAAATGATACTGATCTTTTTCCTCATGAAGAAGAAGAGACGCAGGGTACTCAGAGAAGTGAAAGTATTTTATTATCTCAAGTTATAAGATTTTTTTGTTGTTATTGTACAAGATCTATTTTTATATTTGAGTTAAATTGGAATTTGCAGGGCTTTGTGAATCTGAAAAGGTATAAAAGGTGAGGGGAATGAATAGGTATAAAAAAGGTGCAGGACTCAGAGTTGGAGAAAATCTTGCGCCTCCGGGTTTTGAACAAATATTTGAAGGTGATACTCTTTTTCCTCATGGAGAAGAAGATATGCAGGACGCGCAGAGAAGTGAAATAAGTATTTTATTATCTCAAGCTATAAGATTTTTTTGTTGTTATTGTATAAGACCTATTTTTATATTTGGTTTAAATTGAAATTTGCAGGGTCATGTGAATCTGAAAAGGTAAAAAAGTGAGAGGAACGAATAGGTGTAAAAAAGTTGCAGGGCTCAAAGCTGGAGAAACATTGCACGTCACTTTCTACCATAATAGGGTTGTTGGGCAACATCATGCCTCATTTACGAGACACTTAGGTATATTGGTCCGTGATCGTAATATGTGCCCATTGCGGGTACACTCATGGGCATACATCGAAGAATATAAGCTACAACACATGTGGGAAGCTGTTACGGTAAAGATTTAAAACATTACTTTCTTGATTTGCCTTCTCCATCTCTACTTGTTAATAAAATATGTTAACTCAGTTTCTTCTTCTTTTTATACAATGTGGGAAGTTTGACCTTTTTTTTTTCATTTGTCTTTCAAGGGACTATACTGGGTATGTTGTTGTTTCATATTTAATGATACTTGTTAAATATTGTAGGACAAATTTGACAGTGACATAAATGATCAACGAGATAATGTCTTGAAACATATGAGAAAGTTATGGAACAATTGGAGAAGATCGATGCACAAGAATATTAAGTCTAAGCCATTCCGTTATGCTATAAAAGATGTGCCAAAGGGGGTAGACAAGAGTGATTGGGTATGGCTAGTCAAGGAGCATTTTTTTACTGAAAAATTTAAGGTATGATTTCATAGCTAATTATTAACATTGTGTTATATTAAGTGGCTAACCAGAATTTTGCCGGTATATTGTTAATTTAGGAGGCAAGTACAAGAAACTCGGTCAATAGGTCTAAGTAGAGTATGCCTCATCGTACGGGTAGTAAACCAATTAGGGAGATCATTTATGAAATGGTGAGTAAATCTTATAATTCTATTAAGAAACCTCATCTTTGTTACAAAGATTTCTTTGACTTGTTTATTGTAATGTGAAGGGAGGTAAAAATGGTAAACCACCAGATATGGCAACTATTTTTTTGAGACTCGTAAGAAGAACAACAAGCTTGTCGAACCTGAAACTAGTGAGAAATATGTATGTTTATTGATAAATTTCAATTTATATTATTTTTTTTATTGTGTTGTATTATTTTAATTAAATAATATTTTATTTTACAGGATAAAATCAAAGAATTGGTGCAATCTGAATCGTCTCTTACAAACATTGAGGTTGTAGAAAGGTGCTTCAGACCTCAACAAAAGAGTCATGTAGTTGGATTTGGTGGTGGGATAACCGCTAAGGAGTTGAAAGGTGGTAACTCCTCTAAAGCTGCATTGTTGGAAAAGCTGAATGCTACTGTAAAAGAAAATGAATCGCTAAAAGGACGTTTGGAAGGGCTAGAGAGCAAATATGATGAGCTAGGGGGTAAATACGCACAACTTGCAAAGATAGTGTTTGATGAGCCTTCATCACCATCTTCAAGTGATCAATAGATTGAATCATATAACGGGTTAGTACATTGAAAATCCTATTTTACTCTAACATGCCATGCTAGTTGTCGTTTTCCATCTCATCTTATTCATCCTCTTCTACTTGATAAGCCCAAATCTTATGATTGCACAAGAACTCACTTGTAACAGTTAATTGCTCCTTAGAAACCGACACCTTATTTGTAGAATTTGCTTGAGATATTGAGGCCATACCCAAACCAAGGAAAAGTTAAATCCCGTTATTTTGGAATTAGCTTAATTTCAGGAATAGCAAACATAACTTAACATGGTCCAAAATTTTAACCTCTGCGCTTGAAAGCCAGGGAAAACTTATCAGTATATTCAGTTATGAGAGCCATGCACTTCTTTGATTGTAGTTCTTGGAGGTTCAATTCCTGTACCTCAAGGTCTCTAGTGAAACTAAGTTTACAATGATCTAAATCCCAAGTTATACTTGAGCTTATTTTAAGCACTTTTGATACTGATATTCTTGCATGTCATTAAATTATCTTTAGCTGCGTGTAGAATATTAATTGTAAATCCACAATACCTTATTTTAACACAGTAACCAACAACCAAATGCACAAAGAAAGAACAGAAACAGAGAAATGTAGGGGCTCACGTCTTAGTGTCCCAGAAGAATAGTGTACCACATCATTTTCCACCATAGTCAGACAGTATTTGCCAAGTTTTGTCAGATTTAGGTTCTAAGTAGTATATATACCACATCATTTTCCACCATAGTCGGACATTGTACATCATTTTCCTTCATGCTTACTGATGTAAAAAATACTTATTTCGTATTAAAGATTACTTAGACATTACACATGTATAATAATATATTATATCGCTGGCTTTATGTACTTCACTATCTACTTCTCTGTGATGCCGATTTTTTTGTTTGTTTGTTTGACATGGGAAGAGGAGAAGAATGCTGATCTTAGTTGTGTTCATATTCCTCCTGTATCCATTTAGTGGCATGATACTTTAGGGGTTTTTTCTTATGATACTCTAGCATAATTGGATATAGAATTTGATTATAAACTTCACCACTGCAGATGGGAAATATAACACATGGTGGAGACTTAGTTTTTGTGGTTCTTAATGGTTTAGTAAAGCTAGCGATTCATCTAAAAATAATAAAGAATTTTATTAAAGAATCTCACTGGCTCATGCTTAGCAGCAGCTATGAGTTTGTTCTTGTTTGCCTAACAAGATTGGGAAAATCCAATCTAAAGATGATTCTATTATGAAGCATATGCTGTAGTGCTAATAAGATATTCAAATCCAAAATACCTTAAGTTTATAATTACAACTCAATTTCGTGCACATGAAATTTTTTAGAGGGAGAGTCTTTTCTTAATTGAGGTATGATTTAAACCAACTCCAATTGCAAGGTGGAGTAGATGCTCGGCACCAACGCATGCCTTGGCTTGTCTTAATTTTTAGATCTATCAACTGCTTAGTGTTACAGCTCTGTGACATATCAGGTGTCTACCTTTTGGTGTTTTCTCTATGCCTTCTCTAATGTAACCAAATCTTAGTTATAACATGGATTCACAACTATTATGCTAGGAATGTTTCTTCCCAGATCTACTTCCTATCCAACATAACTTGGAGAAGTTTTTTCTCTATTTGTTAAATGTTTGAGTTCTTCTATATCCAAGCCTCAAGTAAAGTTAGACAAGTAGTTATTATGGTCATGGTGAGATGCCCCAAATTAATTAGCATTAGAGCTGGTGTTTTATAGGTGAAATGGATAACACATCCAACGGGAATGTACTTTTCCTTTGTACTTAGTAGTCTGAGACCTGTCACTCTGTATTGCAATTGAATATGATAATTTTTATTCTCCAACTTCTGAGGTTTTTCTTGAAGTGAGAATTCTCAGGCTTCTTTTTTCTCTGCTACTTTTTGTTGTCTTTGAATCAAATCTACATGCTTAAAGATTAGTCGATATCCGCACTGCCGCCATAGAAGTTCTCTCTAGGATTGTAAGCAATTGTCCATGGGAACAAACTAAGCTGGTGTTCTTCTCCATTTAATGACAGATAATTAACTGACCTGGATAACGACATAACGAAGTCATCATATTGATCAAAGCGCAGCAACATTTGCCGACGCGCAAGCAGCCCGATCAAACAGTTTCCTTTCGCGCCCAGATGCTTGGGCAGTAAACTTCAGATTTTAATTGAATTTATCACTTCTTTGGCTAGTCAACTTACTTCTCGTGAATATGGTTATCTATCTGTCCATTCGCTAATTTAAGGTGTTATCTGTTCATTTTCCCTTTAACGTGTTCATTTTTTTCTTTAGTTGTTTATTCTTTGTTATTAAACTGACATAAATTTGTTATTTTAATAGATCAAAAACTTGAAGCCCGAAGAACCTATCCTTGAAAAAAGTGTAGAGCAAGTTGAAGTACAAGAGGTCTTTGGTTCGTCAACGATGGTTTAAAGACACTGTCTTATGTACATATATATGCTGCAATTTTCTTTTTTTTTCTTTTTAGGAATTATTAAAAATGATGATTAACTCATCTCATTTTATGCTTCCAATTTCTCTTAGATGGGTTATCATATTTTTACTTTTCATTGTTTTAGTAAGATGGGTTTCTTACAATTTGGATTGATTTCTGGTAAATATGATACTTTAGTTCTTTGTATTAACAAGATATCAAGTATTTGGTTTATTTTCCAATGTTGTTGAGCGTGTATGAAAGCATATAAATAATTATTTGTCACGACCCCAAACCCCGGCCGTGATGGCGCCCAACATAATGCTAGGCAAGCCCGACCAATTAACATCTCACAATCTCTTTCTTTATAATTCAATACCAATTTTCGGGATTTAATACCAATTTGATATAAATAGAAGTATGAATTTTAACAGATGAAATGTGCGGAAATTATAATCACGAAAAATTTATGTAAAATAGCCCACTGATCCGGTGTCACAAGTCTGAGCCTCTAATACAAGGTTTCAACAATCTAATACAGAAATATGTCTAAAATGCGGAATAATAAGTGGAGATAGAAGGAGAAATCAGGTCTGCGAACGCTATGCAGCTACCTCGATAACTCTAATGAAAACAGAACGGCAGGAAAGCTCGCTCTATGCCTCAGGAATACCTGTACCTGCACACAGGGTGCAGGGAGTAATGTGAGTACTCCGACCTAGTGAGTAATAACAATAAATAATGGCTGACAGTATGAAA